ACCCTGCAATGCTTTGCGTTTTGGGCCTTGAGAAATTCCCCCAGAGCTTTTTGCTTATAAACAGCTGAGCAATTCATTTCTCTAATGACGAGTGTTTTTCCCCTGGCATCGAGGCAATAATATGTTCACTAAAATAAGTCTCATTTTTCATCAGAGAGGCACATTAGACATCTTTTTACAGTGCTATTTCATCTTCTGAACCTTCAGTGTCTGGAATATTTAAAAAACAAAAAGGAAGGAGAGGAAAAACTAAATCTTAAATTGTATTCTATAGATTTCATCACTACCACCTGTGTGCACACACTGCCAACTAGCACTCACACAAGTTAAAGTATTACTTTATTGAAGTAACTTCCTTGATGAATGGTACAGCAATCTTTTTATGACTTGTGGCACCCAATCCTGTCCCACTATGAGATACTTAACTACATAAATAATTGTATATAATTTTCTTGTTTGACTTTTATTTTTAATTTAGCAAACTATCTTTGCTTTTTTCCCTACCAGTCTCCAACTCCGGAAACCAGACAGGCATGTTAGGTTTGTGACCACCAAAGAATCAAGTAAACAAATGCTTTATTCAGTTTTACCCATTATGCTATCTAAAGTTATAACAAAGAATCTAAAAAGACATGAATTTGCACCTTCCGAGCATCTGCCCAGTTGAGTGAGATTTTCTCCTGCTCCTCCTGGGTATGTCTACACTACCACCCTACACCCTAGTTCGAAGTAGGGTGGTAATGTAGGCAACCGGAGTTGCAAATGAAGCCCGGGACTTGAATTTCCCGGGCTTCATTTGCATATAGCTGGGCTACTGCGGACTCCGTGCTGCGCGGCTACATGCGGCACGGACTAGGTAGTTCGGACTAGGCTTCCTATTCCAAATTACCGTTCAACGAGGAGTAACAGTAGTTCGGAATAGGAAGCCTAGTCCGAACTACCTAGTCCGTGTCGCGTGCAGCCGCGCAGCACGGAGTCCGTACTAGCGGACATTAAAAAATGGCGGCACCTGGCAAGATGCAAATGAAGCCCGGGAAATTCAAATCCCGGGCTTCATTTGCAACTCCGGTTGCCTACATTTCCACCCTAGTTCGAACTAGGGTGGTAGTGTAGACATATCCCCTGTTCCTAAGACAGCTAAAATGGCCGAAGGAATGCAAAGGGGCTCTCAAATCCTGGATCTGGTCTGGAACTGAAAAAAAGACAACACAGATTTTTCCTTGCAAGTCCTGACGTTAATATATGCATGGAATGAACTTGGGGGTGGAAGAGGTGTGACTGAGGGAGCAATTTTGTGAAGATTTTTCTTTCCCAGAGGCATGTTGTTAGCTCCTCAGAACTGTTTAATTATGCAGAGAGCTGACCAGTCTCCAGAGTGGCATAGACTCAAGATTCCAGAAAGGTGACTCAAAACCACAATAGTCACCTACACCCTCTGGTCTGTCACTTCTGTCCTGTGCTTCTAAGTGATTTAACTTAGATTCCCACATGTACAGTACTACATTGCATGCTTATTACTATAACTCTGCACAGTATTTGTCCCTTTTAATTCATAATTAAAGCTTTTGACTGCCTAACATGGGCTGTGCACTTAAGAACTGAAAAAGTAATTGAAAAATTCACAGA